CTGCATGGCAGGGGAGAGAACTGAGGACTAGAGGAGGAGGAAACCATGAAAAGGGACGTATCTATGCAGACTGGAGGCAGACAGCAGGCAGGACCCAGACAAGGCTGCCACAGCCAGACCTCTAGCTCTGGGCAACGTCACAGTCTACAGAGTCTCAGGATTTTTTTTTTTTTTTTAGGGTGATGAAAATGTTCTAAAATGAGACAGTGGTGATGGTGGTTCCATTTTGTAAATATGCTGAAGACCAGTAACTGCACACTTAAAATGAGCAAATTTTGTGGTATCTGACTTATATCTCAATAACATTAATTATATTATAAAGCTGTTTTTAAAAATGAGATCAGCACAGAGCCCGGAGCGGGGAATAACGAATTGTCTTGAGCAGTGGGGGTTGGGAGAGAGAGGATGCTTAAAAAATCTTTAGGAATACTAGGAGAAAAGTATATTGTTTGAATATTAAAGGAAAGATTGACCCAAGAAGTTGGATAGCGTGGGGACAAGTAGGTTACAGTGGAACTTCAGCCTCTTCTTCTGCTCTACTTTTCATGTATCTCAAGTATACTCTTGGTCTCTTAGTTCTCACAGAGAAGTGTTCACACACACACACACACACACACACACACACACACACACAGACCCTCCCTGCTTCTGAGGAAAACAGAAAGGAATAAGAGAAAGAGCCAGGATTTTCATCAAGTGACACAGCGAACCAGCCTTGGACAGCCAACCACCACTCCCATGAGATTGAACACTTCTCATGGAGGGGCAGAGCAGCAGAGCAGCAGAGCAGTGGAACATTTGAGCTTTGCAGTCAAGCCACCTGGGTTCAAATCAAATTCCAGAATGCATGTTCCTGACTGAGTCATAGGGCAAGAGACTTAGCTTCCCCATGCTTCAGTTTACCCCTTGTATAACCTACAGTAATGCTGTGAGGGTTAAATGAATTAGTTCATGTGAAACACTGAGACCTGAACATAGAAAGTATGAAACACAATAATAATAATAAGCATTAGGCACTATTATTCACAGTAGTGTGCAAGACACAGCATTTCTTACACTCCAATAAATTCATAAAGCATGACTGACCATGGGAGTCTACAGAATCATAAACGAAGGCAAGACAGTAAATAAAACCACAGACTCCTTAAGAGCATGCATGATACATGCCAGACAGTAATTTTCAAGGGACCGGGGAGTTATACCTTCTAATCCCTAGTTGGGCACAAGGGATTAGAACCAGATTGTGTGGTGAAAAATCAAAACCCAAACAAACAAATAAAAACCCTCTTGGTCTTCCCTTCCCTGTGAGATGGGAGTCATTAATTTACATTTGTAATATTAGAACTCTTTGGTTTGCAAGGACCAGAAATCTCAACTCAAAATGGCTTAAGCAAATAGCAACAACAACTACAAAAAAAAGACCCGCTTTGTCTTTTTTTTTTTAATGAAACTGACAGTCTAAGGGATAGTATGATTTTTTTTTTTTTGGGGGGGATAGTGTAATCTTAAGGTGAAAGTCAACTTAATACCAGGGCCAAGTAAGATAAGCAGAACTTAGTGTCAGTCTTTTCCCCATCCTTCCTTTCTTCTTCCTCCTGCCCTGGTCCACCTCTCTGTGCTGTTACCTTTCTGTTATATCTTTTCCAGGTGGTAAGCTGATGAAAACACTTTTGCTCTACCCTACTCCAACCTCCAAAGTTCAAGTCCAGTAAGAAAAAAATACATACAACTTAATTCTTGCCCAAAACTTCCTTGCATCACTTCACTCTCTCCAGGTCTCATGATCAGCCCTGAACTGATCTTGTTAGCCAAGTGGAGGAAATGCTTTGATTGGATTGTCTAGAGTCACCTCCTGAGGGCGGAGCATGAAGTTGAAATCATCTGAACCACATGAGTTCAAAGAAGGAAGGGGATAGTTCCCAGGAGGGATCTGGGTTTTCTAGTTTGCTGGTTGTGTGTCCTGCTATCCTGTTATATTCTATTTTGCTCACAGATTCTCTTCTGAACCCTGCCATTTTATCTTAGGAGCAGGATCAAGCAGATGGGGAAAGCTGAGTGGTAGACCACTTCCCCTATCATGCACAAATCCCTGGGTTTGATCCCCAGTACTACAAAAGTCACAAATCCCTGGGTTTGATTCCTGGTACTTAAAAAAAAAAAAAAAAAAACCCTAGAAGAAAAGAGGAATTTTAAGTTTATTGACCAAAGAAATGATAAGTGTTTAGGGAGAAGGAGATAAAAATGCTAATTATCCTGATGTGATCATTACACATTTTCTACATGTGTTGAATTATCACATCATACCCCATAAATATGTACAACATATTATATGTCATTTAAAAATATATTTTTTTAAAGCTCATAGAACACTCTCCCAACCTTGTCATCATACCAGGAGGCTTTCTGTATGATGACTGGATTGAAGCTGAAAGAGTGGAAAGATAAAACATGGATGTTCGAGGAATGTGAAGTCTTCAGCACCTACAGTCACCTCTAGCATTAACCAGAGTCCAATTTCTTGCCACACTAACATGATACCTCACACTCTTTGCCTCAGTTCCTATTATCCAGCCTATCATCTGGCTTTTGACAACAACAAAACTATTAGACATGCTGAATGGCAAGGAAAAAAAAATGTCTAAGAGACAAAGCAAACATTAAAGCCAGACTTGGATGTGATTTGGGTTTTGAAATTATCTGACAGGGAATTTTAAATAAGTCTGACTAATATTTTGAGGGCTTTCATGCAAAAAGCAGGTGGATAATGTAAGCAGAGTGATAGAAAATATAAGAATCAAAAGGAGATGCTAGAAGTTAAAAAACAAAAACAAAAACTAGTGTGATAGAAATGAAGAGTCCCTTTGATGGGCTCATCAGCACACTGAACATGGCCAAGAAAGAAATCAGTGAATTGAAGATAGGGCCATAAAAATTATCAACTGAGCTGGGCATGGTGGCACATGCCTATAATCCCAGTGGCTCAGGAGCTGAGGCAGGAGGATCGCAAGTTCAAAGCCAGCCTCAGTAACTTAGTTTGATTCTGTCTCAAAATACAAAATAAAAATAGGTTAGGGATGTGGCTCCATGGTTTAATCCCCAGTACAAAAAAAAAAAAAAAAAACTCCCAAACTCTAATGTAAAAAAGTCTTTGGTTAATTAAGGACTTGTGAATTTCACCCAGTTTTATCTTCATGAGTATTGCTATTAATCATTTAGAGAATTAGACCCTATGACAATGAGTGACGGCTGGTCTTGTAGGAGTTTAAGTCATTGCTTAGCTCTGCTCAGCAGCCTCCAATAACATGCACACACCCTCTCATCTGTGCCATTCTGGGAAATCATTGTCCCAATGTTTCTGATTGATCTGTGCTAGATAACCTTCAGAGGGAGAGGATCAACAGCAGGACCAGCACTGAGAAGTCTGGTCTAACAACAAGCTGTTTCAGAAACCCATTCCAGGTAAAAAGTGACAGATAAACATGAGGCAGAGCCTCCCCATCCTGAAGAACTGATGTAGAAACAGACTTCAAGACAAGGACCCAGTTAAGTACAAGGTGTGAGTGTCACGTCAGAAACAAGGGAGAATCTAAGTAGCCAGAAATGGGGCACAAAGACTGGGCCAGCCAAGCAACAATGGTGAGTGACTTCCAGTGGGGTCCCATCAGAGTGATGCCCTCCTTCTGGCCTCACCAGAGCATAGAGCTTAGGCTGCACCTAAGTCTTTTGATGAACTCCTGTGCTCTGAGAATGGAGGAATGACTCAGAAGCCAGGTAAGGCCTGTTACCCACTCATGTGTTCTGTGGTCAAACCCCAGGCACCAACTCACTGCCTGCCATTTAACTTACTTTCTCTATGAGGGACCCCCAAGTTTTGTCCAGATAAAAGCATGTGACGAATTCCTGAAGTGAATCTCCCTGAGTTTGTCTTAACATACCACCTCCTATCCCCTCCCACCATAGGTGTCTGTGACAGTTACTTTCACTTGCTAACTTGGCTAGGCTATTTGGTTAAACAGCAGTCTAGATGTTGCTGGAAAACATTGTAAAGATACGATTAACATTTCAGTATTGACAAATTGCAATATAATCAGTAAAGCATATATCCTCTATAAAGCAAACAGGCCTCATTCAGTCCATTGAAGGTCTTTAAGGAAAGATTGAGTTTCCAGAAGGAAGAGGAATTTTGCCTCAAGATTGTAGCATGGAGACTCTGCCTGAGTTTTCCCCACTTTGTTGATTTTAGACTTGCTAACCCCCATAATCACTAATTCCTCAAAATCTCTAATACAAGCCTTCTACAAGTTTATTGGCAGGAAAGAGTGAGTCTTTCTGCAATAAATGCAAACTCACATTTTTAACCAAAAGGGAATTTTGTTCAGTGAAAAACAATCATTCTATTCATTTATTTGACAGTGATATTAACAAAAAAAATATTTTGTTCGACTTTGCCACTTTTCATTAATTCTCAGTTTCACACTATTGCAACAGGACATTGCCCTCTAGCATGTTGACGTCAAAATTGATGCTTATTTTTTAAAAAGTGCTATCTCTGGCTAACCACTTCTAACTGCAGCCACATGAGGGCTCCTGTATCTTCGATGACTTGTAGAGGCACTTTCAGAAGCAATGAATCCCCTGTGAAAATCAGTAATTCAGGACCCATCCAAAGCACCACAATCACACCTGCTCAGTAGCTCACTCGTGGAGCCAAATGGATGGACCCAGAACTTCATTTTTGGCTTCTGCTTTTTATTTTGTTGTTATGTTTGGAAAAGGAAGAAAAACATAAACCGCCATAGTCTTGAGAGCCTCAGAAATAGCCTTGTGAATAAGAGTGCCCTCACTGTCAAGTACCTTGCCTACAGGAGTTGACAGGAGGCCTCTTCACAGGTGGATGCTACTATTTATTCTCTCAAACTCCTTGTGAACTGAAGGCTGGCATGAATGACTTTCATATCTCAGCATGAGACATTTGTTTGCTTTATCAATGTTTCTGTTTTTGTTTTAAGCCAAACTGCCATGTTAATTTACAGAGTTCCCAATGGGCTGTCACCCACCCACCAGGTACTACATCCACACATCATAGGCAAACACAAACTACACAGCAACAAGAGAGCATGAGTGTGTCTGAAACAAATTTCTAACAATATTATCTTTTAACATACAGACTCATACTTTATTTTGACAAATTTAAGATAGAAAAATACCATAATGTGAATATAGCAGTTGCTCTTTTTGTAACATGATTTGGAATATGCAGTGCGACTTGGGATGGCCTTAACCCATGGTCTCTCTTCTGACTGGGCTACAGGCAAAAATGTATTTTAATCTCAGCCATTGCATTTGCTTGAAAAAATATTACACAGTAAAACTGGCTTTTAAAAAGGTTGTGGCATTCAAGAATAAATACTATAAAGCCAGGAATCAAAACAACATTTTAAATATTTTTGTAATTACTAGACTTCATAATTATAAAGCTAAGAACTCATAGTTTCAAAATAGCTTCAACATTTTCCACTAATATTTAATAGAACATTAGAATACTAATTTTTTAAAACCAGTGAAGAAAAATTAGAGTAAACATAATATTTCAGATGACTCTAAACAGTAAATATCAATCTAGTGTATTTACATTGTCCTTTTAACACTATACTCTGCCTAGCTGATAATAGAAACTAGTCTTATCACCAAAAGTGTGCCCCTGAATGTAATCTTTGAACTCAGTAAGTGCTGTCATCATTTCTATGCTCCATCTTTGGAGAGGGTGTTGAGGGACTCTTGATACATGCAGATTTTTGGTTATGGTTATAAAGACAAAAATAAATAACTAAGTGTGCCAGGAGTTTGAAGCTGAAAGTGCTGTTTCACTTTGTTAAGCACCTTCACATGTTTTTTTTCTCTGTGATGCCTCAGTCATGCTAAATAATGCACGTAGGTGCTAATTTTGTTGCTGTAGGTCCTTTGAACTTCTTTCTTTGCTTTCCTTAACCACTCCTTAAAGAATAAAGCTGGGAGGCCCCTCATTAAAATATATTATTTTTAACATATAAAATAGCTGTATGTACATGTGTACATACGTGCATGTCCTTCTCAAGGACTGGGTAACTCCTCATTTTCTATCAAATAATCCTTCTTCATATACTTGGTTCCCCTAACTAACCTCCACACTTCCAGGTAAGCGTCTTTTAAGGACCTTTTACTCCCTTCTTCAGAGGTGTCTGAGATCTTTGAGCTCCTAGCCACCAGTGGGACCCCTCGGGGGCTGCCCCTCAACTCTGGTCCACTCTGCTGAGTGGAGCCACCTGCTTCCTCCCCACCCTCTGTCCCCCCATTTCCACCCTCCCCGGGAAGCTCTTCCATCACGAAAGGCAGCTGGTCTCCACTTGGCTGCGTTTCCTCTCCCTCGGGCTGCGACTCCAGGTCCTCATAGTTGCTTTGCCTTCTGGTCTCCATGAATTTGGCCACACAGTAAATGATGGAGCCCAGGGTGTTTACCACGACACCGGCAATGAACAGAGAGGTGGGCTCCACATCGCTGAGAGCCACCATGCCCACCGTGATGGTGGCGATGCTTTTCACCACGCCCACGAAGCTGGTGGTCACGGCTGAGTTGATGTAGGTACAGTGTAGAGTGGTGAAGTTCATGGCGCAGCCGATCAGTATGCAGGCCACGAAGATGCAGACCATGGCGGGGTCCTTCCAGCCAGGAAAGGCCCAGGCGTGGATGGAGTCAGTGCTGGCGAAAGAGCAGACCACCAACAGTGGCGTGGCAGAGATGGCAATGACATACTGCGCGGTGAGCGGCCCATGATCTGTGTCTGCGCTCGCCTTCTGGATGAGCACCAGGTAGGCGGCGTGCACTAGCACCGCTAGCACACCCGTTACGTACCCGATGGGGTCTCCCGTCAGGTCGCCCGCTCCTGTAGCGCACCAAGAGGATGGCAAAACCAGCGCAGGAGGGAAAGAGAGAGAAGACACCGAGTTGGCGCGGGTGGGTATCCAATGGGCAACGCGTCGGGTCGGAAAATAGACGGAATTAATACTCAAGCTCTGCGCACGGATTTCCCGAGTGCCTATATAGATGCCCACTATGCCTCGGCATCTTCCCTGACAGGTCTCCGGGTCACCCCTCTGACAAAGGCCACCAAGAGCGCAGATGTTCTCAGGGTAGATACTTGTGGTTTCCCTGAGCTGACGCCGAGGTCATCCAGGTACATTGTACCTCTACCCCCAACCCCTGCGCGACCAGAATGGAGAGGTGGCACCGGCTAGTGACCTCTAACCGAGCGTGCCAGGCGCTGGGCGAAAATCGCCTCCCTCCTGACCCTCCTCGGAATGAGTGTTCGGTTCGTACGTTGCTCTGTCTCCTAAACCCCGCCCGCACCTGGGTCCCAGGTGGGCCCCCTCGGCCCCGCACCAGCAGCCCCGACACCCCAAACCAACCCCAGGATCCCAAGTTTCGCTGCCATCCCTCCCCCATTCCAGCCCGCGTGACCCAAGGAAGTTCACGACCCCCTCCTTCCGGCTCAGTCCAGGGTTGGACTCCGGCTCGGGTTCAGGCGGCTCCCCCATCCCTCCCGGAGGAAGGGATCCAGGGGAAGGGCGATACGCGGTGAAACCCGGGCAGGGGTCGGAAGCCCAGACACCGGGTGGGAGACCCCGAGGGAGGAGGACAGAGCGCTGGGAAAGGCTCCGCTGGGTCTCAGAAGAAAGTCCCTTTTGCGAGTGGAACAACCATTCTCAAAGCTCTCCGCCTCTCTCTGCCTCAGTCTCCCCATCTGGAAGCGAGGGCGTTGCACTAAGTGGTCCCCGCCGTCTCTGCGGGGCGGGTTGGGGTGGGCTGGGGGTTGGCGCGGGTCCCGCTCACCTGCCAGGGCGGCGCCGCAGGTGGTGATGAGCACGGCCGTGAGCACCCCTGGCGAGGGTGCGCCGTTCTTGAGCACCAGAACGCCGATGAGCATGGTGACCAGGGGCAGGCAGCGCTTGAAGACCACGTACATGGGCAAGCTGAGACCGCGCAGGGACCAGAGCGTGAGACTCGACTGCAGTGTGGAGAGCACTGCGACCCCCGCGAAGGAGCGCGCCAGGCTCAGGCCGAAGGGGGGCACAGCGATGAGCCCAAGGCGCCGCAGCAGCTCCAGGCTCAGCGCCGCTGTGGAGCTGGTCAGGCACTGCACCAGGGTCAGGAAGGAGAACTGGTAGCGGCTGATGAGGAACTTGAGCAGGATGTTGAGGGAGCCCGAGAATACACCGTGCGCGATGGCCACCGAGATGCCCAGCACGCGGCCCCGGCACAGCTGCCGCATCGCGCCGGCCCCGCAGCACCGTGCGGGAGCTGAGCGAGGGCGGCGGGGGCGCCCGCCCAGCGCCGCGGCAAAAGGCAGGGAGCTTTGGCTCGGGTGCAGAGGGCAGCTCCAGCCGGGCGTCCTCGCGGCTCGGCGGCTCCGCGTCCAACTGCCCCGCAGCTCGGGGGAGGCAGTAGCGGGGGCGGGGGACTCCGAAAAGTGGCAGGGTGCGGGGGGGGGGCGGTTTGAGAGGAGTGGCGGGAATCCTAACGACAGCGATGTGTAAGTAGGTGACGAGCCGCAATGGGCTGTATCCCGCGCGAGTTCCCCGTCAGGAGAGAGGCTCTACAAGGGAAGCCGGGCGGCTGCCACAGGGCGGGACCGGCCCGCGCCCCTCGGGCATCAGTGCCCACCCGGCCCACTCTGGTGCGCGATTCCCCCTTCTGTCCTAAAAGCGGCCAAGCAGAGGGGCGCGGATTGGGGGAATCCCAAACACAGCTTAAGATGATTTTAGAAAGAGCAGCTCTCCGGGATCGAGCACCGTTTATTGGTCGCAACAAGTGATGGCGCCCCCAACCCCCTTGCTGCAGAGGATTTTCCACCCACGGTTTCTCCTCAGCTGGGGAAGCAAAACACGTCGGTGCTGGAGACACCCTAATACTTAAGATCCGGGTGCCGTCGCCCAGACGTTGAAATAACCTGCGATCAGGGCGTGCCATGTGGTCTCGAGACAGGCCTTTCCCGGTGCCTGGCTTTGAACACCCAGGGCTGCGCGAGGCTCTGCGGGAGCCGGGTGTCCTTTGCAGGACTGCGGGGTCTTGGGGGTGGAGACACACATTTAAGTGAAGCAAAGGTGTAAAATAAGCTAAAGAGCAGAAACGATGTCTCTGGTACAAGTAGCCATTACCAGTTCTGGGGAGGAGCATGGAGGCGACGCTGTCCGAGCGATGGGAGAGGAGAGGCTAGATGCTCTGGGGACTAGGAGAGAGCGCGATGCAGAGGAAGGCTGGCGCGGAGGGGATGGGGGCGGGCAGGAACCCGGGCCCTCCACCCTGCAAAGGGGGATCCGTGTAGCGTTCTTGGATACCAGGGAGGGGGTTGCACTCTTCAGGACAGTAGTGGGCCATCTCTCCAGATCAGGGTTAGGGATACACCTTTGCCCACACAGGACTGGTGAACTGTGTGCTTCTAATGCAGCTAAGAGAAAAAGGTGATTCTTTTTTTTTTCGGGCGCCAGTCTTCAGTGCCCCTTCGATCCGAATTCAGTTCCCTGGGAAGCAACACCTGGGCTGTAGTGAACTCTGCAGCAGCAAACAGACTCGCTCAGCGGCGCTCATCACTAAGGGCCAGTTTAGTTTTCACACTAGTTGAAATTCGTGGCTGCAGCTGGGTTTGGGTGAGAGGGGAGAGTAGGTTGGAGCTCCACTACACCCCACTTCTTTGGATCCCTGGCCACGGTTCACTTCTTCTAGCCAACAGGATCGCAACCTCCTAACTTTGAAACGCCACACAACCTTACCTTAAACACACAAGATCAGTCGCTTCGCAATTTTTCTTTCTGCCTCTTTTTCCATCTCTGTTCTGTATCACTGCAACACAGGTGTTGAAGATTGGATTATTGCAGGAGGGGAAAAAATAATAACAGTTGTAATCGCAGCATCACTGCAGTTCTTCCTCGGAGCCAGCCTTTTGTTATGGATGCTCACTGTAGTGGGAGAAGGCTCTGTCTCTACCAGTCCATTAGCTCCTGTGCATAAAGCCTGATAGAATCACCTCCCTATCCCCGACAGGTGGACAGTCAAGAAAATGTTTGTGAATGGACTACCATGCTAACTTTCCAGGAATAACACTGGACAGCATTACACTGAAAACACGTGCTTCCTGTTCCTCAGGGAGTTCTTGGTTTTTAGTGTTAAAACTTGTGGTTAGGCACTATTTAAGGATATTTTAGGGGCTGGGTTTTTGTTGTTGTTGTTGTTGTTTGCTTGTTTTAGTTGATGTTATTTTGGGGGGAAATTATAAAGTTTGAACCAGCAGTTAAAATTGTGTATGTGTGTGGTGTAAATGTATATTCAAAATATACTGAGATAAAAACTGAAAGTTAACTTTTTAAAAAAAATATTGATTCTTAAGTTTTAGGTGGACACAATATCTTTATTTTTCATTTATGTAGTGCTGAGGATCAAACCCAGTGCCTCGTGCATGCTAGGTGAGCACTCTACCACTGAGCCACAACCCCAGCATCCCCAAAAGTTAACTTTTTGAAGACATCAGCAAACAAAAGATTTCTGTTTCTAGGGACCATTTCAATTAAAGAATGGCTTCTGCAAGCCACCCTAAATGGATATTATAAAGTGACTGCACAGACCTAGTTTGGGAATGATTCATTTCTGCCAGCAATTATAATTGCTTCCATTTGTGATACTAACATTAGTAGAAGATTGGTGACTGATTCAGCTAACTTACCCTTCTGAAGCAAGGCTATTGAGCTTAATATTTGAAATCTGCGGTGGCGTGAAACCCCATACATTTTTTCCACTGTAGTGCATATAGTTCTTTAGTAGGATTTTTTATTTTTAACCCCATCTACACAAACCAGTTACTAGGTAAATGCCTAAAGAAAACTGGCGGGGGGGGGAGGGGTGTGGAAATAAGAACACTATGTTTAACAAGGTTAATCAAACAAGAATGGGGATCTGAAGTCCAATAGCAATTTGATCTATTGGTATCAAGGATCTAGATATAAGGGCTCTCTCTCTCTCTCTCTCTCTCTCTCTCTCTCTCTCTAACAGAATGGAAGGGCTGTGTGTGTGTGTGTGTGTGTGTATGACAGCAGAATGCATTACAATTCATATTACACATATAGAGCATAATTTTCATATCTCTGGTTGTATATAAAGTATATTCACACCAATTCGTGTCTTCATACATGTACTTTGGATAGTAATATTCAGCACATTCCACCATCATTTCTAAGCCCCTCCCTCTTCCCTTTCCCTCCCACCGTCTGAGCCTCTTTGTATCAGAGAAAACATTCGGCATTTGTTTTTTGGGGATTGGCTAACAGGGCTCTGTCTTTAGAGCTACTCAATAAATATTGGTGGCATTAAATCAATCTCTTAATTCATTCATTCAACAAACATAAAGAGCAAGTATTTTGTGATAGGTAATCTGTTAGCCACAGAGGATTCAAGGATGAGCACTCAGCTAGTCCTAAGGGATTCACAAGTGGTTGGGGGTGAACACAATGAAGCTAAGGAAGGAGTGAAGCCTTGCAGCAGAAAAAGGGGGAGCTTCCTGGAGGGCAATTAAATCAGCTCGACAGGGAGCAGAGAAGCTTCATGAGAAAGAAATTTTGAAATTTTTACTTATTACTTTTATTTGTAAGATTGACACATGATTATAGGAGAATGTAAAAGGAAAACAGAATAAATAACAAATGAACATGTTTTTTTGTTTGGTTTGTTTGGTACTGGGGATTGGAACTAGGAATGTTCTAGCTCTGAGTTATATTTCCAGCCCTTTTTCTTTTTTAAAACAGGTCTCACTAAGTTGCTTAGGGCCTCACTAAATTGCTGAGGCTGGTCTTAAACTTTCAATCCTTCTGCCTCAGGCTTCAGATGTAAATGATGGATTAGAATTAGCCAAACCAAGGGCAGGACTCTTGAGGCATGCAGACTTAACTTGAGCAAACACAGACATGGAAGACCTGCATGATTCCATGGGGAATTTTGTGAGTACAACAGTATTGTAAAGAGGACCAGTGCTGCAGGGAGAGGTTTTTTTGTTTTTTGTTTTTTGTTTTTTTTTTTGGGGGGGGGCTAGCCCAAAGACCCTGGCTGCTTGGTTAGCAAGCTTGAACATTTCGCTGTAGGCAGTCCTACAAGCAGAGAAAAGATTACTCTAAGACTGGGATAATCAGATTGCATTTTTGATTAGTCTCTGGCAGCTGTGTTGATGAGAATGGTTCTGAGGATTCAAAACTAGAAGCAGTCACCATTGAGGAAGCTGCCACAATCCACCTAAGGAAAGCTAATGATGACTTGAATGGTGGCACTGGTGGCCGCACTGAAAGGAAGAGACAGGTGGGAATGAGGGAAGCCATGGGATGCTATTTAGGTTTCTTTTTTTGTAGTTGTTTGTTTGTTACAGTTATTTTGTTTATTTATTTTTATGTGGTGCTGAGGATCAACCCAGTGACTCACACGTGTGAGGCAAATTCTCTACCGCTGAGCCCCTGTTTAGGACTTTGGTTTGTCTGAAACTGGTCTTTTAGCTTGATTCTTCATTAGCAACAAATGAAAAATCATGTGCAGAAAGGAGGAGCTGGTGTAGCATGTAAAATGAGTTTGGATGGAACAAAATGAATGCAAAGGCATTTGGGACACCCAGGTGGGGAAGTGGGGAAGGCAGGAATCATATACACGCCCACACCCACACACAATGTAAGTGCTTAACACATCCGAGAAAAGGCCTGTTAAGTAAGAAATTAGGAAGAGCTCATTTTTGGAAGAGCCAAGTTATTGCTGAGATAAGCAGTTAAGAAGTGCCAAAACCAGAAAGGACAGCTGGCTCTCAGCCTGGCTCTCCCAGGAGGTGATGGACCTTGGTAGGCTCACTCAGACACAGGTTTAGTTTCTTAGCTTTTCAGACTTGGAAGCTCAGTCTTCTCAGACCCCCCACCCCCGTCCGCCCCCCCTACTCCCACCCCCAGAATGATCAGGATCTACATCTTGACTCTCGGCAGATTTCTGTTATTCCTAAGAAGGCCATGTGGCAGGACCAGAGGTTTGAATTCAGTCATCCTAGTTCATTCCAGACTTCAAGCCAGTCTCATTACTTCCTGGCTATTGTGGCTGAGAGCCTGGGCTTTCTTGCCTGGAAAACAGGGCTTCCTCTCAGGGAGGTTATAAAGATTTAAAGAAATAATGTATAAAGCATCAGATCACTGGCTGGGGGCTCCCTTTTCCTCCATCCACTCTTCCATCACTGCAGGTGCAGGGACAGCTTGGGAAGCAGCCAGGAAAGCAATGCTGATTTTTCC